GAGTTCACTCAAGCTCTAAATAATCCCTCTTTAGGATTTTATCTGGCTCTAGATAGGTTTGTGTGTACCTGCATTGTCTGACACAATAGCCATTAGTCACCAGTGTCTGCTGAGCCCTGGAAATATGACCAGTGTGACTGAAATACTCCAGAAGTATAAGGTACACACTCGATTTCAAAGCTTTTCTGTCAATAAAGAATATAACAGACAACATTAATAATTTTACACTGAGCATATGTTGAAATATTACTTTACATGTCTTGGGTTAAAAAAATACTGTTGAAATTAATGACCAATGTTCTTTTAAAAAAAAATCTTTAATGTTGCTACAAGAACAATTTCAATTATACCCATGACATGTCCAGTATTTCCTCTGGACAGGCTGCTGTAGACCCCTTCCCCTATCTATGTGACTCCAAAGCACAATTCTTTTCTATGACTTTCTCTAGATCTTTGCTGCACAATAGGCTCCCCGTATGCCACATGTGAATATTTCTTCTCTTTGTGCCTGTGAGTGATTATGTTCCTATGTGTCTGCAAGGGTGTGAGTGTGTTCCATGAGGATGTGTGTCTGCCTGTAGGAAGCCAGAGCTCGCCACAGCATATCTTATTCTGTAATTTCCACCATATTCTTTAAGATAGCATTTCTCATTAAACTTAGAGGTTGCTTATTTGCCTCCAGCCAGCCAGCACACTCCAGCCATCTCTGCCTCCCCAGCCCTGGGATTCCATATGTATGGCAACTTGCCTGGCTTTTTTTTTTTTCTTTTTTTTTTTTCTACATGGATTCTAAGGGCACCAAACTCTGGACCTCATGCTTGTTCAGCAAGCGCTTTACTGAGTAAGCCATCTCTTGAGCTCCTACATGTGGGCATTTCCAGTGAACTTAATTGAAACTAAATAAAGTTTAAAATCTAGTTCCTCTGTCACATTAGCCACCATTCTGTCGCTCAGCAGCTACATGTAGTTAATGGCTACCATATTGCAAGGCACAGATGGAAAATGTCTCCATCGTCACAAAAAGTTCTATATCAGGTGGTACCAATATAGATTGTACACAGAGATATCAAGAGGCACAGAGGTGAATGATGAAGGATACAGCCGGTTTCCATGGCACCTAACCCTGCAGCACAGAGTCCTCCATCTCCTAGGTGCCTGTCCCTGCTTAGTCTGGCTAGACTGTGTATAACTTATCTCTTCATCTTTCTTCCTGCAAGGGTTTCAGTGTGTTTTGTTTCTCTCTACAGTAACACTCCTTCTCATCCCACCCATCCCACCCCTGTGTCCTGTAAGTGTGTACATGTAGCTAACTTGGTGCTTTGAATAAAATCTGCGTATAGGAAGTATTTGTTATGCCATTCAAGTGACAATGTCAATCAAATGATTGGAATACAGTGGCTGAAACTACACAGAGATCTGGAAGGCTGGTAGCAGAATATAGGAGAGAGGGGGCTAGAGGGAGGAACTATGCCAGGATCCTGTGGAGAAAAGAAGAGGAGTCAGCGAAAGACAGAAGAGAGGAAAGCAGAGCGACAGACAGATAACTGCTGACCCAAATCATTTCAGTGTGACCCAGAGCCTTCGTGGACCCACTTATAAGCTCCCTGCAGACGGCAATGAGAATTCTTACAGGGCAATACACAGACTCGGGCAGTAGCTACATAAGAAATACAGAATAAACCCCAAATATTATTTACATGATCCATAAATATGCAAGACCTATAAATGGAGAGTATGAAAATGGAAGGTCTGATAATGAAGGGAGAATGAAAAATGGCCTCTCCCTGGGCCAGCTGGTTTGAGTTACATTTTATGGGCAGTGTGTGAATTCCAGCGCCCTTGTTGAATTTGCGGCAGACTCACACATTAGTTTTAAGGCCCCCTCTCGAATAGGAACATCATAACGCTTTTTAATTGGTGCTGATAAAAAACGTAGCATTACTTGTAGGTTCCTGAGAGAAGCGAGTTGTGAAATTGGGTTTTCATTAAACCTAATGACGGAAAATTAAGCATAGTGCGTCTGGCGAAATGGGGCGTGATAAAAGGCATCACTTCTGCATTATCGAAGGTTAATAAGAGAATAGGTGAGGTAAGATCCATTGGAAAAGAGCATCCAACTAGCTGGATTAATAAACCTTGAAAATCCCTTGGTTCCAAGTCCTCCTGGCATCATTAGTGTGTCGGCATCATCACAAATGTTGCAGCAATACAAGTGCTTACATTTCAAATGCATCTATTTTCCAACCCACTGTTGGTTTTGCTGACACTAAGTTTACAGTCTGTCTAGCAATGTGTTTAGGGGAAAATATCCATATTGATAGCCTTTTCAGTTTGGGAACGTTTGGCATGTCACAAAGATTTGCCAGGTGTCAACTCCCAGGAAGCCTGCCTCTGCCAGGCAGCTGGTATCCCATGCAGCCTGCACGCTGAGTGCTTTAGAAAAGATGGGGGCAGGGCATACTTCTGTGACAATCACATGGTGGTGTTTATGTGGGACACATGGGTTCTAGGTGTTGACTTGAGGTCACCATGAAGTGTGGCATCTAGAAACTCACACTCAGATCTCTCTTCATCTCCATCCCCAATCCTACCATACAATCACAGGAGTGAGGCTCACCGGAAAGATACCTCCAGTCCATGACAGCTGGGACACCTATGGGAAAGAGTGTGAGTCTTTAAAAGGTGGGACTCTTCTGCAGAACCTTCAACGGCTTCACACTGACCCTGAGTCCTCGTGTTCTCAGCCCTTCTGGATCTTTTTCCTGTCATCTGCCACAGCATTGTCCCACAGCTTTTGCTTATACCTATGTCTCTGCTTTTACCTAAATGTACCATCATCTCTCAGACTCTAATCTTTTTGCGTCAGCCGACTCTTACCTATTTTCCCTTCTAGACCCTCAAGTCTTGGGTGTGGACTGCATTTCTTTCTACATTGCATCTGCCTAAAGAAAATCCTTGGTGCAGAGTTAGCTCTCATAAATCTAACTCACAATTACAAGGGTATGACAGAGCAGGGACTCAACCCCAATATGTGCCAGGAATTACATGCAATCAATGCTAGTAAAGATGTATCAACTTATTACCAAGCCAAGGGTGGGGAACTAGGGAGTATTATTCTCAATGCAGCCAGAAAGATTTTATTTTATTTTTTTTTTTAGCATCTCACTTTGAACTTTCTTCCCTCCGTATGAACTTGTATTCTCATTATATTTCTGTTGGATGATTGGGCTAATTCCCAAAGGCCAGCTCTGTCTTATCCACTCATTGCACTAAAGCAGGACGCGCTGAAGCCATGGGAGACATGCAGGTACTTCATCTACTAATGAGGTATGACCCAATCAGTGTCTCAAGCACAGGCTCATCAAATCCATTAACTTGTTCTCCCATGGAGATGATAACAGGTGTGGTCAGACAGAAGGATGGAAAGTGAAGAATGTGTGTCCCTGACTTATCCATGACACAGATGATACATGGGGGTGACCATTCTCCAGAACTGAGGGGTTTCCCTGAACAGAGCCAAGCCAACAAGAAGTTAGGCAAGTGTATCTAGTCAGTCATCCCGTAGGCCAGAAACATCCCTCCAGTTTCCTATCCTGTGAGGAACTGATTTGGATATCATCACATGGAAGCAGATTGTGTTTTCCCATAGAGCCTGTTTGATGGCTTATTGTAACAGGGGAGACAAACAAGCTGAAGGGGACAGGGCTTTTAAAAAGACAAGTTGCAGAAAAATCTGGAATATACACTAAGTCTCTCAGGGAATGAATATAACACAGGCTTCATGGATGTCTGCATGGGAGTCTCAATGTCTGAAAACATCTGGATATACCCATCATTTGTCACATCTGGAAGGCCTTATCTCTTACATGGTACAAACAGAATGGCCCCAGGGCACAGCCTGTCAGAGTATTGGGGAGGATATAAACATGCCAAACATAGATAGTTCTAGGAAAGAGAAATGGTTTCCAGAGCGACCAAACAACAGAAGGTACCTGAATCAGCTCAATGTGTAGAGAGATTTTTTTATGAGAGAAAAAAAATCTAACTTTCTTTTAAGATAGGAAGGAGCTCACATCGTCAAAGATGGCTTCAAACTTGCTATTTAGTTTGGGATGACTGAACTTCTTATTCTTCTGTTTCCCCATTTTGGATATCTAGAATATTAAGCATGTGAGAATCAGGTATTATGGAGTGCCAGGGACCAAATTCAGGGCTTTGTGCATGCTCAGTGGATACTATCAACTGAAAGAAAACCTCATTGCTATATGAAGGGGTGTGGGATAGAAGGCCCATGAAAGCTATAGCTGCTGAGAATGAAGGAAGAAGTTTAGAGAACTCTACAAATTAGGATCAGGGGCATTTCAGGGTCAATGGTAGTAAGGGGACATATAGATGGTAGAAAGAAGGTAGCATCTGTTACAGAGCCTATTGCTGCAGAGAGGGTCCGGAGGATTAGAATGCCTGCTACCTATTGGGAGTACAAGACTAGCTATACTTCCACCCAGTGTACAATACAAAGGAAACAAACTAAGAGAGAAATCAGATCATATATACACAGACCCAGAAGCAGTCAGGTGGATCTTCTGGCCTGGCACCTGAGACTATCCTTATCTGCAGACAAGAAACTAAGACAACCTACAGCTTCCCAAACAAGAAGTTTCTCTCTAGACTTAGCCTACCTTCTTACTGGTTCTGGGATTGGCTGATATTGACTGGCAAGGGATAGTCACTAAACTGTCCCTTTGTCTTCACGCAATCAATAATGAGCCCTTGAAGCTGAAATGAGCCAAGGATCTTTGCAAGCTCTGGTTTGTAATTTCACCATTCAAATCTGTGCACAGGGCCAAGTCAGGGAAGCAGTGTCTTTTGTCTTTCTATACTTTTCTGAACAGTAGAGTGCAGTGTCCTCTGCCCTCCTGTGGCCTCACTGGAGCTGGGGGTGGGGGTACAAAGTATGAAATTCCTGAAGTGATAGTTTGTCCTGCTTCTTTTCTTTGAAGCAGATGGCAGCCGTGGGGAGCTGTCTCAGCCCACCCTCACCATTCAGACTCACCCCTACCGGACTTGCGACCCTGTAGAGATGAGCTACCCCCGGGACCAATTCCAGCCTGCCATCCGGGTGGCAGACCTGCTTCAACACATCACCCAGATGAAGAGAGGCCAGGGCTACGGGTTCAAGGAGGAATATGAGGTAAGAGATTAGCATGTGGGAGGGATTCCCCAATAGCTCCTGGGGTACACATGGAGAACTGAAGTCTTGCCTTTGACCATGAGCAACAACAATTCCTGGAAGCACGGTGAAAATGCCCCATCAGGCCCACTTTATCAGAAATTACATTTTAACTAGGACCCAGACATTAAATTTAATCATTATCATTACACCCACATTCCTCCTGTATTGTCATCCCTTTTCTCCCACAACCCCCTCACTCCCAGCATCTCTAGTACAGAAGATATGAAGAATGCATGTTGTGGTTATTTCAGGAGTTTGGTGTGTGTATTGTGGACACTGGGGGTAGAGAGCAGTGACAGACAATTGCAGCAAAATATGGGAAGTGCCCTAGACCAACATTATTATGGTATAGATTCCTCACCATGCAGGCCCTTTAAGGTCTAATAACTGTCTTCTCTCCATCCTGAGTCTTCTTTAGCGTTTTTAAGCACCACCCGCAGTGTGACTCCACATTTTCTTTGCTTTATTATACAAAACAACTTCTTTTCCTGCTGTCTTTGTCTGACTCCTTTTGTTTCAAATCTTACCTGCTAGATCTCACCTTTACAGAAGAAAAGTACAAAGGAAAATTCCATTAAGATGTTTTCCTCCAGCAAAGAGCAGCTTACTCTCTCTTCCCCAACCCATCCCCAAAAGTGGCTGTTCTCTTAGTGACAGTGGAGTCCAGCTACAGCAATTTCCTTTGTTTCCTTTTCCTTTCTATCTCCCTCTCTTCTTTCCCCCAAAAACCTCTTCAGCATCTTCTATGTGCCCTGTACTAAATGGTACCCACTGGGTTTCCCTTCCTCATTCCCTGCTTCCCCCCACCTCTTTACTTTTTCTCCTCCTCCTCCTCTTTCTCCTCCTCCTCCTCCTCCTCCTCCTTCTTCTTCTTCTCCTTCTCCTCCTTCTCTTCCTTCTCCTCCTCCTCCTCCTCCTCCTCCTCCTCCTCTTTCTTCTTTTCACTTGTAGTAATGGTCCAGATACATTTTGCTCAGTTCCACTTTATGCAGTGAAAGCTCCTTAGCTCATACCACCTCAGACTAAGTTTATCCCTCAGACTATATCCCTAGACAGGCTTACTGAGTACTAATTACTGATATCATAGTAGAACATGAAATCATGCCAAACTTGTGGTCCAGATAGCTGTGTGATCTTGACACATCACTTTGCTATCTCAGTTTTCAAAGTCTTCATTAGCTAACACATGTGCCTAACTGACTCCTAAGACCTATCTGCTCTTAAAACTTTGCAGGAGTGTAAAGTAGTGGAGGGGACCGTGTTTGCAATACTTTGAGAACAAAAGCATTCACACCAGTGGATGTAACTACCAGCTCAGGGGAATCAGCAGTTAATTTCAAATACAGTCTCAGTCAAATACCATTTTTGTGTGTAAATTCAGTCTATTACATGAGCCTCTGAGATTCAAAAACCCATTGCTTCTTTTTAAAAATATCAGGACACAAATTGATAATGGAAAATGGATTTGTTCACAGGTTTTGTAAACCAAGGAGAAAAGGACTCTTGGTTGAGGCCTTTTCCAAACCATTGTTACCCTTTAATAGAAAAAGATGAAACAGAAGCCAGGAAGTATGCCTATGTTCATTTAAGTTGCCAGCGTAGTGTGTTCTGATATGTCTTCCCAGAGGCAAGCTTCTCCTGCAGTTGGAACCAAGGCTGATTTGGCCTTTCCCTTGCCCCGCCCCTAGCCTGAGATTCACTGGGACTCATCATTTCAGGAGTCTAATAGGAAAAGGGACAGTACAAATCTTTCTTTCAAATATCTTCTCTCCTGCCAGGATAGTTACAAGACTAACAATTTTGGAGGAATATTGGAACAAGAGTTACAAATAATGCTCTCAGCACATCTGAGTCTTATTTCTTAAAAGTAAGAATGGTCCTGAGCATTGTATGTGCACTGATGCATGTGCGCAGATCTGTTTGTAGAGCAAATACCTCAGGAAACGATGTATTGCTTATAAAGGCATGCCCAATGTTATTGTAGTTGGATGAGCCCTTAGTTATTATAATTTGTCTTAAAGTTTCAAATAGCATCAAGAAAACTATGCTGTTTATCAGAAAGACACATATATGGCCAAAGCCTAAACTACTTATTCTGTGAACTTTAAATCTAAAATTCAAGAAGAGAAATACAGATGCAATTGACCATTTTGGTACATTTTTTTACCAGCATATTTCTTCTAAAGCATCCATCCCTGTATGCTAGTTGTTATTTGGTTGGTTGGTTAGTTGGTTGGGTTGGGTTGGGTTGGGTTGGGTTGGTTTTAAATTTTTCTTTATATCTGTCATCATCTTCCAAACTTTCTAGCATGGAAAGGAACTTATTTTATAGTGAAGAATATATGTTATTCCAGCATTTGGGCCTCAACCATAAATCTCTAAGGAGACTAGCCTCACCCTCAATTAATTCAAATTGTATTAATAGGCCAGCTAGTGTGCCTTGCTTCTGGTTAATAGCATTGTATGATTAACCAGGAGCTAATTAGAAGACTATTAATTGAAACATCTTACTTTGTAGGGTGTGCTAGTCAAGCTTGTTAGAAAGTGACTGTGATTTTCTTTTATCATAAGGCTCCTATGATTTCTTGAATCTTCATCTTGAACATGAATTACAACTCTGCTTCAAGACTCAGCATAGACATAAAACCCTGAGCCTCCAGCTTTGCTGTCACACAGCTGCTGTGTGATGTCCTTGCCTGTCACCTTCCCATTCTTCTCTGCTTTTATATTTTTTCATACCAATGTATGGATTTGACAAGTTGACATCTAAGAGACCATCAGCTTTAGCAAGCTGTGCCTTCTAAAACCAACGCAGCTGCACAGTCACTCCCAAACTCGTTCAGTAAATATTTATTGAGTATTTACTCTTACCCAGGAGTACTCTAGGCATTTGGGATATAATAGTAGTGAAACAAACCCATACCCTCATGACGAATGTATTCTAGCAAGGGAAATAGAAAATAAACTCAGGCTTAAAAAAATAAATCATTCGCTGTTTGCTGTTTTACAAACTACCTCAAATATGAGCAACAGAAAATGATTGATTTATCACAATAATTGGCTCTGTGGTTTGGAATTTGAACAATGACCAAAAGGTACAGTGATTTCTTCTCTGTAATGCAAAGCTCCAGGGCTAGGGGCTGAAATAATCTACATCGTCTTAATTCTGATGTCTAATAACAGATGTAGACATCATCTGAGATCTCACTGGTGGTTTCCCATTGGAATCCCTTTAAGCAACCTCCTGAGTAGCCTAGGATTCCTGGAAGAATGGTAACTTCCAAACAGTTGGACTTTTTATATGGTGGCTCCAGCTCCAAAGGTAAGCCTCCTATCTAACAAGGTTAAAATATTGCATAATGTTGGTGGCCTAGACTTTGATGTCACATTGCATTGTATATGAGCAAAGAAAAAGCTACCCTCCTTCTAGTATGGAGGGGAATTAGACTCCACTTCTTCATAGAAGGACCACTTGCCAGCTCTAGGAGAGCACATAATATAGTAGATAATATGATTTCAGGGTGATATGGTCTTCTAGACAAAGAGAAAGTGGTACAAGGTCAAGAATAGAATAATCCAGGCTGAGACATGCAGGCAGGTCCAACATCAATTAAAGTAAAAGGATAGTCCTTAGGAAGGACAGATTAGGAAGGAAGGATTTCCATAGCAAGATGATAATATAGTGGCATGTGCAAAGAGGAGTAAAGAAAGCTGACCAATGTATAATGAACATGTGCTAAGAATGAAATAATCAGATTGGAGAAATAAAGAGGGACCTGGTACTTTCATACATCACAGGCCAGGATAAAGAGTTTGGCTTTTACACTGAATGAGCCGAAAACTTACTACAGAGTTTTGAGAGCTACAAATGCCAATAGTCTGATTTTAGTTTAAAAACTCATTCTAGTTACTGTTTTGAGAATGGGACCTGGGGAGGCAGGTTAGAGCCAGTGATGTAGTAACCCAGATGGGACAATGGTGACTCTGGCCAGGGCCAGCAGAGGAGTCCATAAGAAATGGTTGGATTCTGAATATGTTATAAAGATAGAGCCAATAGGATTTCTTAATATATAGTGTCTATGTAAAGGAAAGGTATCAAGAATGACTCTGAAGCTCTTATGTGAACCACAGGAAAGATAGAGTTGCCACGGTGATGCGAAGGTTCAGGGAAGTCCAGTCTGGAGCAAATTGAACTCAGTTTGCAGTCTCCAAAAGAGCAGTAGCCATAAGGATTTTATCTTGAGAAAGAAGCCCAGGCTATAAAGAAAACATTGGTAATTGTAAAGTCATAATTCCACATGAGGTCCTCAGATGTGTCAACACAGACAAGAACCTTGACTTAGCCTTTTAACTGTCCCACTTCAGGAAGTCATAGAGTACTTTCCATAGGCTATTCACTGGACATAGCTGTGGGGACGAAGGAGATGCAGTAACCATGACCCTATCTATCAAACCTGAGGTTATGATAAAGATGACCTTATGGGTTAATAATTTTAATTGCAATATGCATTATGTGGATAAAATGTTATAATAAAAGAATACCCAGAATTATAGCGACCCATGTAGAGAGGGGATATTCAGCCTAGCCTGACAGTACAATTTTTAGTGATTTTTATAAGTATACAAGGCTCAACCAAATGTAAAGAAATAAGAATGGTAAGTGAAAATATAGAAGAATGTTCTAGAGAGAGAGCAACAAGTGATGTCATGCATGAGTAGAAAGTGACTTGAGTTAGAGGTACCATAAGTTAACTTAATATATAAAACCTAGGAGGGCACACAATGGGAGTTGGGCCTGTAGTTGTAGCAACTACATGTCCAGGAATGGGTTAATAGTTCACACACTAAGGAATCTGGATTTTATTTCAGGGGTCATGGGGACTATAGAGGGAGCTGAAATTTTCAAAGTAGATTTTTACTTACAATTTTCTATCAAAGAAGAGATACTAGAGGCAAGT